ATATCCAATGTTGTCAAGGTTACAGAGAGTACATTAGTAAATCAAACACTTCCAGTGTACTTTTTGTATGCTGGAACACAAACTGGATGATTTAAAAGGCAGCGGCAGAGAAAGACACTTATTTGTTCTTATGACTATGGTACCTTCGTCGGTTGTTTTTGTATGCTCTGTGATTTTCATGTTTTAAAAGAGAGAGAAAGGAAGAGTATTGTAAAGAAACAAAATAAAAGCGAGTGGCGGCTGGGCAGAGAAAAAAACAGCCCCAGATTTCCAAAAAGAAAGAAACCTTCCCCGTACAGTCCGCCTCGGGCTTTTGGACCTCACACCAGAACAAGGTGAATTCTGGACAGACGTGCTGCAAACACTCGGTGAAGCTCAGGTGAAACCTTTGCGGTAAGAACATCCTAAAGCTGATGCGTGACTTGAGCCCAGTCGGCCCGTGTTACTGACCAGAGAGACACCGACTCGAACCAGCAGTCCGCTTACCTGAGGTTAGGGTACTTAGGTATGTAGTTGAGAGAGGGTCTTATAGTCGGTGGCAGTAGTCAAGGAACATTGGTTTACTTAATCCAAAGAAAAAAATACCTTTTTTTCTGAAATGCACCACTCACGCTGCACATTGCAGTCCAAAGACCTGTCTATTCTCAACTGTCCTCGTTTTTCTCTCTGATCTCTGAATTTTTTTAGCCACTTATCAATGACGTATTCTTAATTAATTTAAGGATAATGGGCTGAGAAAGCAGTCTTACACCGAGGAGAAGCGTGTCCATCTCCATCTTCGTTACTTTTGGAAAATGTTCTGATTACATCAGAGCTTTTCCCTGCTTCACGCCACGCCAAGTCATCGAAGTAAGCAGAGCACCTTCACCACCGTCTTGCAGCGCACGGCAGACGGGGACGTCGTTGCCGCCCTGAAACACTAGAGGGCAGTAGAGCGCGGCCTCCGATTGCTGAAACGGGGCGATGGGGCTGTGAACCACTTATGTAAATATCCAAAGCCGTGGGGGGTGCGGTGGATTATGAAAAATATCTGGCCCACACAGGTCAGCCAGGGAGCCCCCCCCCCTGCATGTGCTGCGAGGTAAGGTGGTTACGGTGCTTGGGTAGGATATCTAGCTCGCTAGTTTCCCCTTCTACCGACCACTAGCCCGGCCGCGCCCCGTCTACAACCCGCCCCGGGAGGAGACCTCGTGACCTCGCCGCGACCCGACGGCCGACGGCCTGGCGCAGACGGGGGCGTCCCGTTCAGCGGGGGCTTTTCAAACCCCGTGAATATCAGCTAGAACCCTACAGGCCGAGTACAGGATTCACCTGTGTGTCCCTGGCCGGCCTGCGCCTGCCTGGTCCGGCACAGGGTGCGCCACCCCAGAGCCAGCTGGGCTTGCAAGCGGCAGAGCTGCAGGCGCCGTGCAGCGGCTGTCCTCGGCTTCTCCAGGCGCGTCCACGCTGGAGCGGGCAGGTGCCTCGTTAGCTGTCGACTCCCACACGCCAGAAGCAGGCTAGGCGCTATGCAGTTAGGTAGCGCTAAGCAGGCTAGGCGCTATGCGGTGGATCTGCGCCTATCACTGGTTGCCGGTTCAAATCCCGCGGGCGGCAGAGGAATCCTACTCCGTTGGGCCCCTGAGCAAGGCCCTTAACCCCAACTGCTCCAGGGGCGCCGTACAATGGCAGACCCTGCGCTCAGACCCCCAGCTTCTCTCCGTGTCTGTGTCTCATGGAGAAAAGCTGGGGTATGCGAAAAGACGAATTCCTAATGCATGAAATTGTATAGGGCCAATAAAGAAACATTACATTACAGTTGTAATGTTGTTGTTGTTTTTTTACTTTGTTATCTTATTTTTACTTCCCAGCGACAGATCACCCCCTGCACGTTCCTAGACAGCTGGCCCGCTAGTGCATTTTGTTTGGTGGAGAAGGGAGGAGGGTGATTTTTGTCGGTGAGCGCAGCCTCGCCGCCCGAGAGCCTGCCCGTGTCTGACCCGGGAGAAATCGCCGCGCAAGCGAGCCGAGTCTGAACGGGCGGCAGTGTTCAGGTGCGGACCTCCGGCTCGGGAAGCGCTGAAAGTCGCTCCGTCTAGCAGCTCTGGCCAGCTTCGGAGGCACAGATGTCTCTCCCAGTACGGGCCTGTCAGCCGCGGCGACTTTTTTTTTTTAATTAGAAGAGATGACAAAAAAAATAAAGACTCGCTCCCTCCCTTAGATCTCTTTACCTCGGTAAATTTTCTCACTCTTTACCGGTAAAGAATTCATGTTGAGGGGAAAAAAAACATGTTTTACTTCACAGGGCGATGGGGAATGTAAAAAAAAAAAAGAACCTGAGCACGTTTAGACATTTTAGCGTGATATAAGGCACTTAAACATATGTGTATATAACCGTGTCAGGGCCAAGCCTCCCCGGTGCGAACAGGCACAGCAAAGCTTTTCTAACTGGCATACCTCTGGGATCGCTAATGATTAATTAGCTGGTGTCATTAAGTGAAGCAAATGTCACCCTAGCTTCCTGGGGAAGCTGTCACTCCGCTCCGGCGTGCGCTGCTCCCACAGGAGCGGCGAGGCTCCCACTCGTGAAAAGGCGGCAAACTCTGCCATCTGGTGGCGGGTGCGGGGACCGCGCCTGTGGCTGGGAGCGCAGCGTGCGCGCCGCACACCGCGGGCCGTGATTATTGACATATAAAGAACCTCAAACCTCGTCGCACACGGCTCCGTTCTTTCTAATTTGACATGCTTTTGAACTGCGAACATTATTATCTACTATATATAATACCTGTCACAAGATATCAAGAACAGACGTGGAGTAAAAATACGGTTCTGAAGCTGTGGTCACCGCGGTCAGAATATGACATTTACCAGCGTTTTACGGTGGTCTGTATGCGTGCTGCCTTTTATTCTGAAGTTTTGTCTTTACAAAAAAAAAATGCAAGAGACATCGCAGTATTGTTGTGTACACAACCACACTATATATTCCTCCACCTGCGGCGTTCCCTTGCTCGGGCTGGTCAAACCGCACTGTGCCCGGTGTGGCAGCCCAGGTGTCGTGCGAATGAAAGGAAATGATCGCTAATTGGCTCCTTTCTGCTCCTGTCAGCCGGAAGGACAGAATTGACACTCACTGTGGCGCGGTCTGCTGGGTGATGCGGGCAGCCCCCGGAGCTGTGGGTTGAGGCCGGGTGACGGTAGAGTCATCCGCAGTCCCGGGACAGAGCCAGGACAGAGCCCCCTGCACCCCGTGTGCTTTACAGGATCACTGGCTGCTCGAGCCAATCTGTTCAGCACAAGACAACAAAACGATCACAGTTACCAATACAACTTTGCTTCAGAACAAGATCAATAAAGAAAGCGATCTGAGTTGCATCAAACAATCATTCGGACATGACTTCAAAAGTGGTGTTCTTCTCTGCTAGAACGTTACAGTTCCTCTCAGTGCTAAAAAAACAAACAAACAAACAGTTGTTTTGACGTTTGTTTGGCATGTTCTGCAATAAGTCATGACAAATAAGGCAAAAAAAAAATACCTAGCTTGAGAAGCTGGTTTGGTTTTCCAACTTTTTGTGCCCAATCCTGGCACAGGCAGCCTGTGGGAAGCGCAGACCGCTCAGCACTCCTCCTGTGGTTTGCAGCTCCAGCCCAGCTCATTAGGGGCAGGCAGGGAGCTCAGCGGAGTGTGACGAGAGGGCTGGGGATAAAGAGCAGCCGGCAGGAGAGGCTCTTTATGGGCCCTCAGCTAGCAAGGTACTTCCCATGTGACAGACACATGGCAGGACACAGAGGCAGCTCATGCACAGCGCAACAGGGTCACAGACGCACAATGGCACACCTGTTAGTGCGTTTCCACTCTCCGGGCAAGACAAATGAGTCCAGATCCTCTGGCTACGGATTTCACGGAAACTGATGGCCCATTCTCTTCCCCGTCTAACCTGCTGTAACCCTAATTATTGCACACAGAATGCCATCTTGGAAATCGCATGCACACACACACTCACCTTGCTAAAAGCTGCCGAAGAATGTGTGTTCAAATAGTCTTTCTGTGGGCAATCTGGGCGTTCCTCAGCGTGCCGTTGCTTTTAGATTTGTGCATCTGACTTGAATGGCTCCCAGCTGAGTTCTGAACAGGGGTGAGAAAGAATGGCTTTGAACAGGAACAGGAAGAGCTGACAGCTCCATGTCTTGCTCCTCACGCCCTCATTCAGAAAACGAGCTGCAGCTCGGCGGAGAGGCGAAGGCACGACCCTCCCGCAGGTTGGGCAGAGGCGCATCACCTGGAAGATTTCAGGAAACAGAGGGCATCGAAAGAAAATGGGGTCTCCGCCAGTTCAGCAAAGCATGTTTCCTGTTTTCAGCCAGTAGCTACAAGGCAGTGCCGGACTCTTCATTCCAGCTGTGCCTGTCTTGTGCTCCACTAGGTTCCCTCAGTGTGACTCCGTCAGGCCCGTGAAGTCTCGTTCAAGGGTGGCCCGTGATGAGATGTGAACGACACTGCTGGCGTGTTGAGGGGTGAAGCCTGCCCCGGTCTCGAGCGCAACAAAACAGGGGTGTCCACGACAAAACATGGCAGACTTCACCGAGAGCATAACTGTTCACACGGCAAAATATTTCTTCCTTGTCTCCCCTTGCTTTGTGGTTGCGCCATTGCAGACGCTCGTGGGTTCAGGACAGGGTCCTGTCCTTCTTGTTCTGCTCCAGGTGAAAGCTCGGGACTGGTGTCTGGTCCGATCGCGGGTTCCTGGGGGGACGCGCCTGGTCTAATGAGAGTGTGAGGTAGAGCTCCACGACGAGAGGTTTGCTTTTATCTTGTTTACTAAGATAAAAGCCCCCAGTTAGAATAGGGGTCCTAATTGCCTGTGGGTCTGCGGGAGGTGGTTCCTACTAATGCTTTCAGATGACCTTTTCGTCACATTCATTAAGCGTAACGCGGTTTAGATCATGGTGCATTTTCTCAGTGGACTCAGTTGAAACGGAGGCATGGATTCTCGTCAGGTACGCAAATCAAATGCGTGGAATGAGCCAGCCGATCACATGAGGCGCAGGAAAATGCAGATACCGCGGTATAAGGCAAGCGCAAAGTGTAAGACGCGGACGAAAGCGCAGGCATGGAGGGCCTCAGGGGCACAGGGGGGCGGGGCCCGAGTTTGTCCCGGGTCAGTGGAAGGCAGGTGGGAGCCGCAGGCAGACCAGGGGGGCAGAGGAGAGCGTCCTCCCTCTCCTGCGGCGCTCAGGGGAAGTGGTCCTGCTCTCTGCGGCGCTCCTGCTCAGGGCGGCGCGCAGCGCGCGGCCCCCCACCTCACAGCTGACCCCTCTCTTTCATCCGCAGCATGGCGGCCCAGGGCAGGAGCCCCCAGCCCTACCTCCAGCAGGAGCTGACGGGGGTCTCATACCCCAGCCTGCCTGCTGCACAATCCGGGGTCGCGCTGGGGGGGGGAGGGGTGGTTGGGGGTTTCTTCAGTGACCAAGTGGTCAGCCTGGCCTAGCTAAGCGACTCAGAAGCAGAGGCAGTATTCTGTGTTCTATAGACAGCATATATCTTTTGGACTTTGAACAGTACTGCTGCTCTCACTGTGTGACCCTCGCCCCCAGCACTGCACAGACCATCCCGCTGTGAGGCCACTCACTAGTGGGGAAAAACTAACGCCGAGACCGATCGGTTAGCAGAAGAGATGCGAAGGATGAACTGGTGGACTCCAGGAGGCGAGAGGCTTATTTCAGTCCGGAAGGGACAGAACATCCACAGGCCACGGACACTAGAGTGTGCAGAGGGGCGCTGGGACTCCAGGGGCGCAGGTAGGAGGGAGGGGCGGAAAGTCCCTCGTCTGGCAGGGCTGCACCTCGGCCCCTTGCCCAGGAGTCCAGGCGGGTGACAGGCCGGCACTCAGCCTGTGTGCCGGTGGCGGATGAGACACCACAACATGTCCCTGAGCAAGGTTTACAATCAGCCTGGGGCCACCTAGCAGGCCAGGAGCAGTTGTTTGATTTGGTCTTATGATGTGTATTTTCAGGGAAGTTTGTCAGCTAGAAAGATTTAATTAAAGTGCACTTTGTTCTATTGTGACGCCTTCTCTTTGCTGTCTGTCCCTCATGCTATACGTCTGAAATTAATTAGACTCTGGTGCTTTGGTCACAGCTCTAAGGATCGTCGCCGGTCAATGGGGGAATCATCTTCCTCTGAATGAGGGCTTACATCTAAGAAGACACTTTATTTTTCTACTCTTGAGGTTTGTTGTCTTTTGTGCCTATTATCCTATTCAGGACGTGCTTTCATGCAGCTGTACTTCAACTAAAAAGTCTTTGTGCAGCATCCATGAATACAACAAATGTGTCCATGGCAGGTAGCCCTTCTACCAAGTTAATCTCCTGAAAGGGCTCTATACAAGCACTTTTAAATTCTCTGTTCCTGATTGAGAGCCGTCATCAATTGGCACTTCTCTCCTTTGACAGAGCAGACCACTTCTGTGAATGTTAAGCACAGACAGTGACAATGGGTGCCAAGTGTACCAGAAGTAATCACGTCCCGGGCCTAAAGGAGAAACAGAAGTAATTACTTATAAACTGTTTGGGCATCTGAAACAAACGCTATTGTGCGAGCGGCAGAAGAGAAGAGGCCTTTTCAAAACACCGGCAGCAGATTCACTTCTCCCTTGCGTGCTGGCAAACGTGAGCCCCCTCGCTTTTTCTCGGAGAAAACAGTAAATACGAGCGCTGCAGAGTCAAAGTCGGCCTTTGACTGCTTACAGTGAAAAGGCCGGTGGGAAGTGTCTGTGCTGCTGACCAGCGCTCAAGGGCGGGGGGCTCTGTCTCTGTGCCTGGGGAGGGCACTTGAGAACCACGGCGGAGGGCAGGGCTGACCTCCTGAGAGCAGGAGGTCAAGGGTCCGGCCTCTCTTTCGGGCGTGAACAGAGGATGCTTCGCTGCCTCTGTAAAGCAACAGAACATCTCACTTGGGGGCTGGTTTGTTCCTTCCTCCCACATCTCATCTGATAATCAGACACAAGCACGTACATAACATTTCCGTGGTGAATGCGAGGTCACTCCCTCTCTAGTAATTATTTCAGACAAGTGGCTGTTATGCTATTTCATAAACAGCTACCAGAGTTGGGGCAGTTCAGCACATCGCTGGTGAACATCTTGTAGTGCTCACACTCTGTCTGATTGGTTTCGTCCTGTCCTGTGCGGGAAGACACACTAAGGGGCTGCTTTGATGGTTTCTAACTGAGGCTGTGCAAGACAGCAGCTCTTGACTCACACATTTACATCACCGGCTGATCAGTACCGAACAAGGAAGAATCCGTCCTTTGCTGCTTGCAACGTTAAGAATCAAAACAGAAGCAGTCAGAGCCATTTCATTTAGTAGTAGTAGTCTTCATGCAACAGCCTATCAGCTTGCAAATGAGTTAATTGGATATCGATTCATCACTTCTCACCCGTGAACCTCGACACAAATATTTACAGTCGTGCAGCACTAATCCCCAACAGGAGGAGCTGGGGGAACAGTGGCACTGCTGCACAGCTCTCTGTCTGCTGCCATTGGTGCTGCAGCTGCCCGTCAGACAAAACACCTTACAACCAGCACCTTACAACCAGCGCTGCTGGGGCTTGTCCGCCAGGGCAGGGGTCTAAAAGAGCTTTGCTACACGTTACACACTCGTGCATCTTAGAGCTCAGTTATTTCTTACTCCAATACCCCTGTCAGAACGCTCTGTCATGTCCTGGGCTGGTGTGTCTGCAGGTTTACATTCCAACTCAGCTGTTAACGGCTTAAATCAGCTCATAATCAGCTTAATTAGACCAATTTGACAGCCTCTTCTTCGAGCTCTTCGGGTGCTGCTGTGAGACTGGACAGCCCCATATACAATATATGCTGTAGGCTGATATCTGTGAAAGCATTTCACATCTGAAAATGCGTGCCATAAATCCCATTTTTTCACCTTGAATGACAAAAAAAAAACGTTTTCTTAAAGACCGTAATTTTTTCCTGTTTCGGTTCTAAAAAGTAGAATCTTTAAGGACTCCAATCCGTGACCCAGTTCAGTCCGTCCTAGGGGTCACCCTTTATCACTCATTTTTAAAGATCAGAAAGACTTGGAAGCACATCAATAGATCAGTTGAGCAAGAAATTGGTCAACGGAGGGAATTCTGGTCCTTAAGGATAGAGTGTCTCCATGATTTTCTTCTAATTGATCTCTAAATTGGGCGACACAGTGGCTAGCATTGCTGGGACCCTGGGTTCAAGTCCAGACCTGGGGTGCTATCTGCTTGGATTTGCATGTTTTCCCATGTCCGCATGAGTTTCCTCCAGGTGCTCTGGTTTCCTCCCACGTTCCAAACACATACTAGTAGGTTAAGTGGCTTCTGGGAAAACTGGCCGTGGGGTGAGTGTGAGTGTGTATCTGCGCTGCAGTGGACTGTTGTCCCATCCAGGGTGTACCCTGCCTTGTACCGTTGCTTGCTGGGATAGGCTCTGGCTCCCCTGTGATGCAGGATTGGAAGGAGCAGTTAGAGAACGGGTGTATGATATCTAAATTACTTAATTTAGCAAGTATTTTACTTGATATTTGTAAAAATCAAAGGTACTTGGTAACAAGTATCATTTTAATAATTATATTTAGATTATGAAATAGTAGCCTTTAGAAACTGTTGATTTAATGATTCCCAGTTTAACCTGCAGGATA